ACCAGCAGCAGCAGCAACGGCGAGGAGCCGTCCAGCTCGATTCCTGATCTAGGTAAGTCGTAAGTCTCCGCCCCCAGACAAGCCACTCGAACTGTTAAGCCAGCCACCCGTCGACCCTGACGGCACTTGTCGATTTGTCGATCGCTTTATGGTCGGATAAACGGGCGGCAGGTTCCTACAGTGCGAAAATACACAAATACAGCACACTGGACTGCACAACTGTTATGTTAGAAACAATAGAAGATTGCAATAGAAATGAGCAAGTTAGATAGGAAACTAATACACTAGTTTGTATTTATATAGCCTTTATTAAATATTATTTTATAAATATTTATTATATTAAATATTTTTAAATATTCAGTATCAAACACTACATAGCAGCTAAAGGTAATTTAGTTACAACCTAATTTATATCTGCGAAATCCGTAGCTCAGTGTAAAAGTGGGACAGACCAGCTGGGCATCTAGGAAATTAAAATGTGATCGCTTGTGAGTCAGCGGTTAATATGGCCTTATTTGTGCAGTTAGGTATTGCACATGACACTCTTACTCATACATACTTAGCCAGTAAATGGTACTAACGGTAGTGCTGATACCATCAAAAGGTCAAAACAAATATGAGTAATTTTACTTTCTACAAGCAAAGCCATCTATAATAGAACAATGAAGCACGTTTTAAAAGTGGAATGCAGTATGGTATTGGGTCAAAAGTGATTACTGAAGAATTCATTTTAGTAGTGAGATACTGGATTACCTCATAATTGAGGATTGCTTTTTCGGAATGATATACTCGTGTATTTGCACATATACACATGTAGACTGCGTCCAAGCCAATCCAGTGCTGCGCCTCAAATCTGAATTTTTATTTTTATTTCAATTTAATTATCAATTTAAATTGAAATTGTTTTCGGAGGTTGGTCAATAATCACACACCCCGCCCCCTGCCATTCACGACACACTTTTCAGCATTGCCAAGGTTGCGAGATATATGCTATATATTCCTGTACATATCTGTGTTCATTTTTGTGTGTATTCAGCAATTGCTTCTCTCGCTCTCTCACCTTGAACTTCAACTGGAATAAACTTGCCGCTCTGTCTGCTTCTCTGCTTTCCTCTGACGCGATGTCTGACTTTTGTTGGTATCGTATCTGAATCTGTATCTGTATCTGTATCCGAATCTGAATTGGCACTATATATGGGTGAAATTGCGTATAAATGGAATTGCGTGTATATGCAAAATGTGCATTGTTTGATTTCGGTTGCTTTTTATGAATTACTTGGCAACTTAGCAATTTGCAATGCGGATTTCACTTAACCGCTTCGGTTTTTCAGGTTTTTGAAGTCTAGACAAGATATTCACAATTAATTGCTTAAAATATAAGCTAACGCTTATTTAACCTGTATTAAAATTTGATATGCTAAATTTAGCTGATGTCCAAACGTTGTTTTTCCATCGAAATTAAACATTGATCTTCGCTTTATTCGTACTTCAGCATTCTATTTACTATTTACTGCGAGGTTTGATTGGCATTTGTATGCAAATTCAACTTTAAATTAATATCTGTGATTGTCACCTAATTATAGTGAATTAGAATTTTTGTTTTTTCACTTCCCCAGCTTGTCGCCATTTCCTTGAAGCAGTATTCGTTTTTGATATTAATGAGAGTGCGGTTGCGTTTGTTTCATAAGTTATTCACTCTCAGTTTTGTTTGGCTTCGCTTCCCCTAAAGCTTTAATTAATCAATTCTTTGTTTATTTTTCCACATAAACGATGAGGCGCAGTGCGATTATGTGACCAGTGCTTTTTTAGTCAGGTTAAATCATATGTTTGAATCGGAATTTCCAGCTAAGCGGTTAACCTGTTCCTCGAATGCGAAAAATACACGAATGAAAGTGACAGTTGAGAATGATTTTGGGCTGAGAGCTCTTGGTATTCCAATGATTTCATTTGGCTGAGCTGTGATTGGGGTTTTGTGTTTTTTTTTTTGCACATGTCCCAAGATACGCTTAGTTATACAATATATATATGTACGAGCGTGTGTGCTTATATGAAGAGTCTTGGACTACGGCTTGTTGTTCTTGCCGTTCTCCTTTTGTTGCTTGGCTAATAAATAAACGAGTCGGCGAGCTGAGCAAATAAAAGTCAAGGCCAACCGGGCCGACTTGATAGATTTGTTTGCCTTTTTCCATGACGAGCCATCGGTTTTCGAAAATGATTGCAGAGTTCCCGATTTACCACTTTTTCATTAATTAGTTTTCCCCACTTGCTGGCCCTGTCGCATATGCTCGATTGTAGGGCACTACGATTTTCAATGTCAATGCCACAACCAATCCGAGACCTTAAGCTCCACGCATCCACATATCAGCAATGGGTCAACACCGCGGTCCTTGTGTGTGTGTGTGTGTGTGTGTATCTGTGTGTGTAGAACACTCAAAAACGTCCATAGCCCTCATGGAATGTATTTTTATTCCATTGTTATCATTTTGCGCAAGTGACAGGCGCAATTGCCGCACATAAACACTCATGGGAAAGCGAAACTCTAAGAGAGGAAAATAGTGTATATACGATTTAAGACGTTTTTATAAAATATGGCAGTATAATAGTATACTTAAATGTTTTTTAAATAATTAAGAAACGTTTTTCTTATTTCGATTTCTATTCTGCCACTAAAGCTGTTTTGTTGTGTTGCACAACCATTTTCGTATTAAACGCTCCACAAATAATTCTAATTTCCCAGGTCGAGGGATTACCGATCGTTTTTAATGAAGCAAAGATTACAAAACGCATTATACAACGCGATTAAGGGCGAATAGGAATTGTATATTTATTTACATTTGCAACCCGAACAGATCAATTAAAAAAGCTTCACTTGCCAAAGGCAACTAACTTGCAAGCGCTGGAGTTAGCCAACTGTTGTGTAAACGGTTTTATGAACTAGTATATGGCGTTATGCAAACAGTTATCCAAAGTGCCAGTTCAAACATTGCGGTAAACCACCTACTGACAACAAGTTCTATACTAACCTTTGAATAACTGCTTTTGCTCGGCTAATGAGTTGTTTGAAAATTATTTTATATTTTCCTGCTCAGCGAAAATAAAGCAAGTTTTTTTATCGATCTGGTATCCTGTCTTCGCTCAATTTGTTTCATTAAACACACTGAATTAGTTTATAAATAAATATTAGCAGCCACGATTTGATTAGCAGTCAAAGTGTTTGGCCTACATCATACTGAAGAGCAAACGCATTTGCCCATTTGGGTTCTGGCCAACTTTCAATTGAGTCATTAGCAGTGTTTTTGACTTATTTTTCCGGTTTGCCTGGGCAAGTCTCTCAGTCATCCGACGACCTTGCCAGTGAAATTGCGCTCTACCTTGCATAACACCCATACAATATAGAGCCAAACTAAATGTTGATTTTTGCTCGGAATCAGCACTTATATTATTTAATAGAATAAAAGGCAAACGCGTAATTTGTTAAGGTTTGCTTGAACCATGTGCCATTAATAAATAAATAGATTATGGCCTATAGGAACCGATCTATGATCGCCGGAGAGAATCGGGAGAAATTGCGAATGATCAGTTGAGGGTTTTCGACCTTGAGGTTATACAAACTAATAATAAATCCACGTTCTTGTTACCAATTTCCTTTCTGACTGAAGTGAACATTGATTGGAAGTAAGTGTAATGATCAATTACAACCACAAAGTAATGGAAAATGCGCGTTGATCACGGTATTATGCCATCAGATAATTATAATATTATATTAGGCAGTACAATTAAAATTATTTTCTATACTTCTCCCCAATTATTTATGAAACTGATCAGTAGTAAAGTACTTATTATTGGTTAATAATCCCATTCCCCTGTTCCGAATGAAATTCCTTTCCAATGGCCCTGAATTACGATCAATGATTTTCGCATAATTATTCGAGAGCCGATTGATTTATAACTGTTGTACTAACTGGACTATGCTTAGTTCAACTGTAATTCAATTGTAAATCAACAAAACATTGACACAAAGTCACGCCAAGTCCAGTCTCTGCTTATAGCAATTTCTCAGTTACTTAACCAAACACAGATAAACGGGCTACGACGAAAAAAACAGTTAAACAAAAGTATCTGGCGGATAAAAATGCCTCACGAAGCACAACAAAACCTGTTCTAATAGCAACAAAAAATCGAAACAAAACAGCATTAACGAAATCCACATGCAAATAAAGCAAATATAATATATAATGTGCAATTGTATAAAAATGCGAATTACAAGTGGGCGAGCGTAATAAAAATGTTAGAAAAAAGCACAAGGTCATTGAGAAGCGGAAGGGAAAAACAAAAGGCAAAAAGCAATAGCAATAGAAACAAGAGCCAAGCAAAACAACAAATGTGACACACTGAAAGCGAGAACACAATAATTATACAAACAAATATGTATGTATGTATATGTGGGTTGGTTTGTGGGGTTCTAGGCGTCCAGAGGGGGGAGGGGGGGCTTGACAAGTGCAGGCGTAACGTAAATCTAAAACATTTCCTGAACGAGCGAGCAAGTGAGTGAGTGAGCGAGCGAGCGAGCGAGACGGCGGCAACAATTAGCGAAAAGTGAATTTGATTACAGTTGCAACGGGGCGTATGAGTGACGTACTTGAGCGCCGCCTGCGATCGAGCTATCGCCGTCTCCCTCGCGCGCCCTTGCCCACACCGCTGCATTCGCATTGAATCTGAGGCTGCATAACGGTATCGCACTAGGCCAAGTTGCAAGGTCTGGTCGGTAATCCCACACCCAAGCGGTATGTCCTCACAGCGCTGAGTTTCCACGATTGCCAACTGGCATTGCATGGTCCGATTGGAGTAAAATGCTGTTAAAACATTTTTTATTGACTAACAGTGTTGTGAAGTTTCGTTTCGTTTCGTTTGCGTTCCATAACACGGCTAGGGAACCCTTTTATTTATATTAAGATAATTTATATTTCACTTGGTATTTAATTTCAAAAATACATCCATGTTGGACAAGTGTTTTAAATTTGTTTGCAGTAGTGTAATGCTGATCAATTTTGAATTGCATTGCAAATTTTATTCCATGCGATCCGTTGTCACTGCGAATTTTTAACGTTTTCCATATACTGCAGACTAGTTTTACAAAGTACAACTGAATCGGTAAAACAGAAATTAAATGAATTTAGTAGTTTGGTCTGCAACGTTCACTTACATGGTGCAAACAAATGATCGCAAGCAAAATATTTTCCCCAATAAAAATCTATAGTAAGTTTTATTGACACGTTTCCTCCATATTTGCATCATAATTTTACCACGTATATCTAAACAAAAAAACAAAATTTAAATTAAAATATTAAATGTTTAATACAAGCTTAGCTTACAAACAACAATTGGCTTCACTCCTTCAACATTCAATAAAAATAAATATTTGCCTTATTGTACACAGTGGATTTCGAACCATTTTCATTTCATTAGACTATAGTCAAAGATCAGCTGTTTCTTACTGAATAATTTTACCATTTACAACTAAATAGGGGAAAAATGTTAATATACAAATAAGAAGATACCTACGGTTATAAGGAAAATTTAAGCAAATAGTGCGTACTCACATGCTGTTTACTTAATTCGATAACAATAGCTTGAACCTATTCCAAAATTTAGTAATGTATATTTATACATTTATTTTATAAGTATTTTCTTCTCCTGCACAGTCAATTTTAATGCTGTCCGCTCCATTTCGTATGAATAAATGCAAATAATTTAACTGAAGTTATCATTTGTATATCTGCATAATTTTACTGAGGCGGCAATATGTACAACTAAGTGGAGAAAGAGTAGTAGGTCAAAAAGAAGAATATATGAGTTTCAATATAAGATGGTTATATGGTAGAAGCTGATATTTTCACCAAATCAAGTAATGTAGTTTAAATAACAACTCTCAATGTTGCACTTACTTAATGGAAATACATAAAGGACGTTAAATATTGGAAAGAAATAGCTCAAGACCTTTCCAGCCTGGAAAATCCCCTTTGAGTTCTGCAATAAAACAATCAAGTATTACATGCCTCTAATGCGAATTCGCAGTTTTGCTTACCAGTTTGATGCCAAAAGCTAGCAAAGCTCCAGCGATGAAATACGAAAGGGCGAAAAGCAAATCCATCGAGTAAACGATGGTGAAAGTTTTGGGGGACATATCAGCACCATGCATATGCAAATAAAAATCCAGAATTGTAATGGAGCTCTTCAAAAGTATTACATTGTGAACCGAAACCATGAGCATGAAGAGACCGCATGCAATGCAGAAAGCTGCGTAGAAAATTGAGCAGCATCGAGCTGGTTGTTCCTCACAAGATTTACACATTACAATACAATTTTTTAAAATATATTTAAATATTCGGACAAATAATACTGAGAATTTTTTTTTGGAAACAAATTTTGCGGGACCGACTTGTGTTAGTACAAAAACTGTAATGAAATAATGTTCGAAGGCAACTGCGATCTCTGAATAATAAAATTTTGGAAGCCTACTTTGCTTAACAGCCGATCATACTAAATACATTTCTTATTTTAATTTAAGACTATCCCACTAATTTGGTGATATTGTCAAGAAAGCCTTTGCAGCATAATTTTATTTAGCCAAGTTTAATATTTGCCCATTTACTTATGTACTTGTCGATTGGTAAATAACATTTTCATTTATCCCTCCTTTATTACGCAAAGTACTTCCCAAAGGTTCTTCAAATAAACCCACTATCACTTCATTCGCTTCAGCAAATATATTTAATTTCAGACCCTCAGGGACAGATTTTATACTAAATATTAAAAGTATTAGTTTGTCCATATTTATTCAATTCTTTTTGATATATTTGTTATACCCGTTACTCGTAAACTATGAACGTCCGTATAAACTCCTTGATATCAGGAACTAAGAAGCATTTCCAACATTTCCTGATGCTGCCCCCTCTAATGCCCATAAACCAGCCAAAACGGCCACGCCCACCCTTTTGAAAAAGTACTGTCTTATTCATTTATTATTTCTCCGAAACCGGAAACTGGACTTGAAATCGTGATAATGCTTGAAGTAATAACGCCGAAAAGTTTTCTGAAAATATTTATTTTAATACAATTTCCATTCATCTTGATATACAATTTCACAAAAATTTAAATTTGTTTGCTAATGATTGTTGAATACAAATTTGGAATTGCATTGCAAATTTCAGTCCATACGATTCGAATTTTCACGTTTTCCTTATATTGCTGAATATTTTTACAAAGTAAAACTGAATCAAGAAAACAAAAGAGAAATTAGCACAAGAAGAACTGTAGTCGAATGCATCGACTACTGGCTACCCGTTACTGGCTTTTTTCATTTCAGCACGTGCTTGCATTGATTATATTATCCTTATCAAGAATATATATAGTTTGCAGCGTCAAAATGTTAGAATAACTATTATTCTAGCGTCTTTGGTTATACACACTCGTAACGGGTATAAGTGGGGAACAAAAAATGAAGCACTTACATGCCGTTAACAAAAGGTTAATGTGATATATCTTGTCGAATACTCAATTATATTTATTGCGCAAAGTCAATTTTGATCATCGGTTGAGACTGCGAAATTTTATATTTTTTCTTGCTTCATAATGTTCCTACGTATAACTAAAAGGGGAGAGCAAAGTGAACAAATAGAATAGTTATATAATTATGCACTTACATTCTGTTGGAAAAGCTTAAACTAGTCCACAATGATATATATAATAAATACATATATTTTCTTCTTTGTTGTAACATACAATTTTGATGGCGTCCAATCCATTAGCTTTGCGAATATCCAATTACTCTAATCAAAGTTTTCCTTTAAGTATCTGCATAATTTTATTACAGAGCCAATATGTACAACTATATTAAAAAAAAAATGGGAATACAATTTTTGACAACATGCCGATTTTTGAATCAAATCAAGTAACGTGTTTTTAATATACCACTTTTACACTTACCTAACGGAAATACGTAAATAATGTTATATATTGGAAAGAAATAGCTTATGATTTTGCCAGCTTTAATCAACCCCTTTGTTTTCTGATAGAAAAATAAAAATGTTATATTACCTAAATGATTCTAATGTGAATTAGCTTGACCCGAGCTTACCCTTCTGATTCCAAACGCTAGCAAAGCTCCTGCGACGACATACGTAAAGGCAAAAATGACATCCATAGTGTATATCAACATAAGATGCTGTTCCGTCAAATCAGTATCATGTAAATGCATAAACCAATCCATAAGTGTAATAGATTGTTCCAATATGATTACATTGTGCAGCGAAAAGCTAAACGCAAATAAACCTGCTCCCAAGCAGAAAAATGCATAGAAAATCGAGCAGCATGCAGCTGGTTGTTCCTCACACGACTTGCAACACATTCTTAATATATTTTCAAATTTTTCGGAAAAAAATACTGTACAATTTTGGTTTGTGAATAAGAATTTTGACCGACCGACTTGTATTGAACAATGAAATGTATTGAACTAACTTTCAATGACTACTCTGATCTGAAAAAAAATTCAATCTCTGAATTAAATCAAATAAAAAGAAGTTCACTTGATCCCTTAAGTAGCTAATATACAATGTATGTTTTGTTGGTCAGTTTTGTGGCTGAATTGTTGTATATACAATCAAAATAAGGTAAATACTGATACAAGTTATGAAAACAGATTTTGTGAACTTATTAAAATGCCTATTTTATTTTATTTCCACTCATACAGTTACAGTTTACATTACTTAAAACAAACTCTACAGTTTATATTTCATTGCTTGTTTTCGTCGCAGTAAACATCCTTAAACTTCAAATTGCACAGCTCAAAAATGGCATCCAAACAGTAGGAAAAATCAAAAACATTTTAGGGCCAGGTTTGTCTTATAAATCGGCATAATTTTATTGCGCAGATGCAATGTACAACTAAATACAGAAAATGATAATTAACTACGATTTAAATATACGTTTATGGGGGAATCTTGAAGAAATAATAGATGGGGATATGTTTTCAGTCAGTTTTCTCATAACGCGTCTCGAAAACTGAATAAAATACTGAATTTTTTAAAGTGTGTTCATAGGAAAAGCTAACTCACCTGTTGTTAGCACAAACATCCAGGTGTATAGGGCAAAGAAGTAGCTTAAAACTTTTCCAAATTGAAACACCGCCTTGGAGTTCTACATTAAGGTCAAGTTAAAGGATAGCACAAGCTTTGGAACTTATTTTACCGTTCTTATGCCCAGCAGCATAAATATCCCAGCCAAAATATACATAATGGAAAAGAGCATAATAAAAGATATATTAAACCAGGCATACATTGACACTCCCTCATGTGTTAAACTATTTGAAGTATAAATGTAGGTAGTTAAGTGCAATACCATTTTTATATACTCGTCTATATCAATTATAAAATACATCGAGTATCCGATACCCAAGGTACCTATAAGTATGCACCATATGGAATAGAACTTCGCCCAGCTCAATGTTGGTATGCTCGCGCATATTCGACACATGGATTGAAATTCAACAATATATATTTTGGAGAAGTTTATTCAAAAATATATTTTCTAACTTTGTATCTACTCTGAGGTAGTAGTCGTAGTGAACTTAACACCCTCGATTCGATTGAGTTTTGGCTATTGTATCATTATTTGGACAACGTGGTATCTTTTCAGTGCTATAGAGTTAACTTAGAGTAGTTCTATTTCAGGTATTTTTACAACCTGTTCAACCTTGTTAGTAATGATTTCACTTTTACCGTTCAACTAATGGCCCCTCCATATTATTGCATTGTCACGTGCCCACAACGAAAGGTGAATATTTCGCAGTCTGAGTCAGTTGATCAGTTGGCGAAAAGCTTTTAATTTCTTATAACTGAATATGGCCTGAATCATCTTTGCGTGGTTAGATGAAGGTTTCTCAGACGTTAATCGGAGCGGTCTTTCAAGGCAGCGTAGAATTTGGGGTCGTTTTGGTTAAGGCTTCTCAGAAATCTCTTTTAGAGTGAATCATTACCATAGCTCAAAACATAACTCTTTCTATTGAAAGAAGGCTCTTATCGTCCGGTAATAAAACAACATTATCTGAAACCTTGAGTAAACAAAGAGTGCAATTAGTAATGCCAACTTTAAGTTTCCCGCTGGACATTTCCATACAGAATGACTAGCCATTTGCAATATTTATGCAAATATCAACACCAGGCCATTAAAACCCCCAAATCCCTGGAGCATCCAAGCAGTTGCCCTGAATTGCACATTTAGGTCATGAACCGGAAACGTCTTAATTACATGAAATAAGTGAAGCTCAAAGTCAATTTAAATGCACCACAAAAGTGCAAAACGCAGAGTGAACAAGAAAAATCAAAAGTGCAAAAAAAGAGGCGAAAAAAGGCGCAGGCAGCAGAGTATTGCATACATAAAAAACTCGAATCAAGTTAAATAATTAAGCTGGCCAGTAAAGCAGAACAACAGGAAGGGAATGAGGGAGATAGCTAAGCTGGCGAAAGAGAGAGGGAAACTCGACTGAGAAAGGGCCGCATATAAAATATCGGAACTAAATCTGTACATTTTAAACTATAATTTTTAGGAATTTATTTTTATTTGAAGAATTTTATATTTATAAATAGTGCACTTATATTACTTGGTGTCGCTCATTTTTCATGAAATCTGGTTTGGGGATTGTAAAAAAATGTAATAAACAACTCATATCCTGCACCTTCGCCATCGAATAACCACTGTTTCAAGAAAAAGTATCTCGAGAACAAGAACTGAGCCAGAAACGATAAATCGAAGACCTTGAACTTTGGTAACAACAAAGGCATGCAGAATAGTCCGAGCAAGAAGAAATGAGCCTGGAAAGATCAAAATCGAGGTGGAGATGGGGCCACAGTACCAGCATTAAATCAAGCAGACCAAACCAAAGGTCCAATGTAGGGCAGACAGAGAAGGACGGCAACAGAATAAAAGAGAGGGGAACAGCGACGGATTCGTCTGGTTATTAGCAGGATCGGCAAGATATAAAACTGGTTGCAGAGGGAGCCCATGAAGAAGTTTCTCAGGCAAGTGCCATTGACCTACAAGCAAAAGTCGTTGGCTTCTTGTGGATCGCGAAGAACGCAATCCAGAGGGAAAGGGACAGGCATACGCGGTGTAGAAAGAGTCGGCACATGAGTCAGGAAAGGGAAAGAGGAAGTGCACAGAGAAACTTGCCCTATTGGAAAACTAAAATTAATCTAATTAAATATTGCTCAGCCGGTCGTACAAGACTTCCTTTGATCTAAACTAACTTGTGCTATTTATAGGCAAACTAAAATCCTGTTTTAGTAGTCAAAAAGTTAAAGACCTAGAAGTTTACTGCAACATGTTTGGTAATGGATAACCCCGTACATTTTCGTTGCCCTTTCTTACCGTGGACAATTATACTAACTCCTTTTCTTACTGTGCAAAGGAACTTTGGTTTGGTAGGTGGGCTGGCCTTGATATTGTCAACGACTTGACTTCACCCAAACAACCACAACAACAACAAGAACACAAACAACATCACCGACTGCAAGAATTTAAAAATAAAATACCAAAGGAGAGGGTTGGCCCGAAGGAAAAGGGAAAGAGGGGGCTATTCAGCGTCACGCTTGGGACTTGGGGGCGCTATTTATACATTTTCCCTCTTGTGATCTGCTTTTTGTTTATATGCGCGCCTAAAAACGTTCTCAGATTCCTTTTAGCCCCTCCGATCGCTTCCATTGCCCCAAAACTGGCAACAACTAGCTGCGATTCGAATCGCGGCTGTACTCGAATCTGCAATCTGCATTCCCTTCAATATGCTATTGCCATCCCGCTCTGGCCTGGCAGATATAGCTCAAGTGCAGTGCCCTTGACTTAGGTCAATAACACGATTTGCTGTCGTTCTTCGGGTCTTTGGCTAGCTCTTGACTCTGGCATTATCGGTGAAGCTCACTCTAGAGGGTATAACTGGGTTAAAAACAACATATGATTTATTGAACTAAATTATATGCCGGGTACAGGGTCCTTTAGTTATGAAAAAGCCGGTCTCAATACGAAAATGCTCCTTAATATTTTTGTTTAATTTTTATTTCAAAACCAATTAGTTCTTATTATTCAATCAAGCCCTAATTTGTATAGCAGCTATGGTAACTTTAACAGCATTAGATCTAACCAAAAATGATACGCGTTCATTCAATTTTGTTAGCAAGGCATGCTCGTAAGAGTTAATGGCATTGAAAAATATAAAAGCCAAGTTCTAAGCCCAGTCACCAGTTCAAATCGATTGTTTTTCAATGCAGACCCCTGCCGCAACCCGTTGATATCCGGGCATCTAGAACCTTATTAACCCAAACAAATACCGAAAGTCCGCACACGTCGCTACTTAAATGGCTCATCCTTGGACATGCCATTGCCATTGCCAGTGCCACTTGACAGTGACCTTACAACAGCCGAACGGGGCACCACCCAGTGGCCATCACCACCCCCCATTTGACACCCTTTGCCACCCCAATTCCACGCCCCCACCCTCGTGCGCCCTTCGCTGGACTGCAAGTGCTGCTGCATAACCTTTGCCTTGCATTTGGAGGCGATGCGCATGAACCTGACATTGAACGTGATGGCAATGAAATTTTCCGAACTACTTCCGAGAGCGAAAGAGAGAGCAAGTGCAGCGGAGAAAGAGAGGACGAATAGGGGGCTAGCCGGCAGAGAGGGAACTTAAAACTTGCCCATCCCACCGCATCCCCCAGGTGAATGGGGGCTGGCATTTTTGATGGCTTTCTACTATACATTGTTGCGTTGCTTTGCCGGGCTCTCGATTCTGAATAGTTAGGGGCTGGGCTTTAGGGGTTATGGCGTGGGCCACCGACGTTGTGGCAGAGGTCAGGTCAGGGCCAAAGCACTTGACATTTCTCCCCCTGCCGCGATATCATAAATATCACAGCTCCCCAGACTTTCGCCACATATATGGGTTAGTGTGTCACGCAAAAGTCGGATTGGATATTTCTTATAAGCAATATCGGATCGTTTTCGTGCGGAACCACACAGGTGTCATTGAACCACATGTGAGAAGGGAACATACGTAAAATGAAAATAAACTAGACTGATTTGTTTACAACTCGATTTTCATAGAATAATGGATTACTTTTTTACTTATGTGTGCTTTGTTTCGTTGGTTTTCAAAAGGATCTATTATTACATTCCTCCATACAATAATTTGATACAAGCATTGGTTGATATTGTTATTTGCATCATTTCGCATTTCGGCTCAAGAGTTCAACTAGGACGCCTACTTTCTTAAGCAACATAATTGATAACTAATCGATGAGTTTTCCAAATCAAATTTGACTATTCGTAAGCTGTGATAACAAACAAAAACTTTGCTTCTCCCAAGTGCTATTTTTCAGAACTCAATTTT